ATAATAATAATAATAATAATAATAATAATAATCGGCAGCCAGTTTGCTTTTCTCAGAGAACCTGCAAACTCGTCGTTTTTGTTTTCTTTTTGGCCACATAACAAGGGCTACCTAGATGTCCAATGAACCACTGTTACAAGAAAACTATCCATATGCATCTCCTTTAAGATGCTTCATTGCATGACGGGTGAATCTGCCAAGCAAAGCAACAACTAAAAATAAAATGGAGGATCCTTCAAATGGGAAATTTGAACTACTTGGTCCAAATTTCCAAGTCTGCTTTTAGCAGATTATCATTTGATATACTTCAGCTCTGTTACTGATTATAAGGAGACAAAGTAATCATTGATGGAACATATCTTCATATGGCATGTCATATGCATACTTTAATCATTTATAAGCATTATTATGCCATCATTTAAAGTTTAGTTCTGACAAATCAAGTCCTGTGAGAAACATCTATTCTTTACGTTTAGCTGAATGTTCATTTTCTAACATATAGAAACTTTGAATGCCAGCATATCACGTTCACCGTCTCTTGATTCCCCTACTATCAACCCCCACAAGAAAATGGAAGGATCAGGGGAATGAATACAAAAATGTGAGAGTTCTTTATACATAGCACTCATGGGTATGCAGAATACTCTTACGGAGTACTTTTCAAAATTAACTATGGATTCTGCACCACTTTTCAATCAGCCTAAGGAAATCTGGAAATGAGTTGACATTTCCCTGATATTTAGCACAAAGAAAGGTATTAAACGTTGTAAAGATGAATATAAACAGATAAATCATTAGCAAGTAATTATGTCTAGGGTAGTGTGTAAAAACAGTTCAAATTAAGAAGTCTGAATTCGGCTTTAGCCTTCTGAAACTGAAAGCAAGCCTTCAAACAGTGGATAGAAACCACAGCAACTCTGTATTCTGTGAGGCCTTAAGCTGCATCTGCCCTTTGATGATAGCCTGTGTTCTTGTTGGTAACGCAAAATAAAAAATAAAAAAAGATATTATGCAATATTTTCACATGTTAAGTTATTGCAACTGAGATTCTTACGTAGAAAACTATAAGGTGGAACAACAGCAGCAAAAGGACCACAGATTTGCAAACAGAAAAACTAGACACGGCCTCTTTACAGTACAGTTCTATCACTCTTGCAGCAGATGCCTGAAACCCTGAGACTTCAGAAGCTCGCAAATATCCAAATGCAAAGTGCGGGGCAGCCATCTTCACTGCTGCCGCACCTTGTAGCCTGCATTTTATCTAGATGCCCATTTTTGGCCATCTAGACTTCAGCCAGTGGGGCAGAAGGAAGGAGGCCAGGGCACCAATGAAAACTCTACAGGACTAAGCCCTCTGCCACCAGCATGCCCTCTGTTTCTCCATCCAAGACTTAACTGTGAACTGGGGAAAGAGATCTCTGTTTCAGACTCTGAAAAATGTTATATTCTCCTAGATGATGGAATAAGATGATGGGTTTGTGCTCTTAGTAGACTATTTTAGCAGGATTTATATTTAGATGGAAGTAAACAGAAAGCAGCTTTTTGACTTATTTTTGGTATTACAGAAATGTAGACTCATCTATATTAAGAGCACTTGCAATGCAAATTTAAGCTTTATTCCAAAAATAAAATAACAGGATAACAGGATAAGGGTATAGGACATTCCAGACCTATTTACCCCACATGGATTAGCCTATTTAGAAAAAATAATAAGGGCACATCACAAAAGAAGCTATTATACAAGATAATCCTAAGCATATTTATTAAATATGCCAAAGATACTAGCCTTTCGGTCCAATTAAGAAATCCCTATTTGCTTAGGAGGTCCCACTGAGTTCTCTACTTCTATGTAAGAGAAATGTAGCGAGTGTAACTTTAGCCTACACCGTCTCGGCCCTTTTCTCTTGAACAGAATGATGTTAGCTGTCTCAAGCAGGGAGGTAACATGGCACCGAGGAGCCACTATCTAACGCTTAGCCAAGCAAAATCGCAGCCCTTCGGCCGAATCCACTGCGCGCACTTGTGGCGAGGCCAAAGGGAAAGAGCCCCACGCGCTCCCGCGAGCGCCTGCAAGAAAAACGCCAGGGGTTTCCCAAGGGTCAGGCAGAAGTCGGGCGCGTCGCCGTTCCTCCAGAACGACCAGCACGCTCTCCTTGCTCAATGCTCTTCCACCGGCGCGTTCCCTTCTAAGGGTGAATTACGTTAACGCTTTCGACGTTCCGCCCTAACCACGGACACCAAGGGCACCAAACCGGAGCCCTGGCCGGGGCGCGGGGAACGCACAAGGCTCTGCTGACGCGCAAACCGGGAAGTCTTCCCGGGGTGAGAGGTTCTCCTCTCGCCTCGCTTCCCAAACGGAGGCTGGCCACGCCTCTTGCACCGAGGGGCCTCGTGGCGCCGCTGCCCCTCGCCTCGCTTCCGCGGGGCGCGCCGCCTTGCCCGCGCCCCTCGCGCCCCTCGCCCCAAAGGCGGCCGTGGGAGCTCGTCCCAGAGCAGCCCCTTCCCCCGCCGCCGCCGCCGCCGCCGCGAGCCCTGCCTGCACAGACCTCGGGGGCTGGGAGAGGAGGAATTCCGGGCTCCCCCGTCGTCGCGGCCCCTCCCAGGACGCAGGAGCATCTCTCACCTGGAGCGGTAATGGGCGGGAAAGGGCTGGGAAGGTGGGCCTCTCCTGCGAGCCCAGAGGACGCGAGTGGCGCTGGAGCGGGGACGCCGCCTGCGCGCCGACGCGTTTCCCTCCTGCGGCGCCCGCTCACCACAGCTCCGCTGGTCGTGCTCCGGCTCCGGCGTCGCGCTCTTCTCTGCCACGCCTGCCGAAGCCCCGAGTCCGTTCAGGATGGGCGAAGCGCTCGCTTCCTCATTTCTCTCTCGCAGACCGAATGATTTCCTCAGTGCCGCGCTGCAGCTGAGCAACACTTCCTCGTCGGGCCACGGCACAGCTGCCTTCGTTCGCTTCAGAGCGTCCCGGGGTGGGGTGGGGCGGGGAGGGGGAGCCGCGGCTTTTCCTGCATGCGGGGTCGCCCGGCTCCTGCTGCGGGCCGTTGGGAGCTGCAGGGTGCTGGGGCCCCCTGGGATTGGGCTGGGCGGAGGGAGCCCGGTTTGAGGCTCATCTTGGAATTTCCTCTCTCGGAATTCATGCTACCAAAGCCCTGGGAAAGATGTGGCTGAAGAAGGCCTCAGTGTGCATGAGGTGTATCTTTTTGAGGAAACAAAACCAAACAGGTGTTTAACGCTGGGCTTTTAGCTTGAAGGAAAAGCAGGCAAAGCAGGCATAGGACCATAAGCAGCTGGCTTACGTTGCCCAGTTTCTTACAATCTGGAAGACACAGTGACCTCTTTCCTTGCTCCCAAGTGAACAGGTCAAGCGCAGCATGATTTGCTTAATCACGGTCCTGGTATGCAGCTTGTGCCATCCAAGCCTGATGGGGTGCGTGGCGGGGTGGCCTTGAAGCCATGGCCTGGTGTCGGCTTGTGGGGTGGCTCAGAGGCATTGGCCACAGTGTGCCTTAGCAGGTCTGGAAGCTCCGTGAGGGTAATCGGGTCAATGCTGCCTCCAGAGCAGGGTGACGACACCACCATGGGTTCTCTCCTCTTGATGCTGCACAGCCAGCCAGGGGGTCAGACTATCCGGCAGCCAGCCCAGTATTGTTTACATTGAGTGGCAGCGACTTCACAGGTTTTTGAACAGTTTCCTCTTGACCTACCAGAGAATCCAGAAAGGAACCTGAGAATAAACATGTGGTTTATCAGGTGGCTACGATCTTTCCTTCTCAGGCTTGTTCCTTCAGCAGAGGCTGGGACAGAAGAAGGGGCAAAACTGTCTTGCCAGAAAGCCCTCAGCCACCCCCTGCACTGGCTTCTCCTGTGAGCACTGCCACTTCTGGGAGAGAGCAGGGAAGTGTGCAAGCAAGAGAAGGGAACTGCTGCTCTTATTTCCTCCCTGTCCAACTGTGGGGAAGTACACATAGCCGCCTCTGCCTGCTTTTCAGAGGGCAGTGCAGCACAGAGAGTGGGTCATTGAAGCTGCAGCAATCTCAACATCTCACTCACTCACCTGTATTCCCCCTCTGAACTGCTGGTTGCCCAACTAGCCCAGACCTCCACACCATACAGTGAAACAGTCAAGTAAGAGAAAAGTGGTGGCTGCTCTGCCAAGGAGCAGCCTTCTTTTGCATGCTTTCACCCCACAAGTGCAAGAAAGCAAGTGTCAAGCTGAAGCAAAGCTGAGTGAGCCAGCAGTCTTCCCCCTTTGAATTAATTTAACTTCATTTGGCTATCACCATGAATTAACTTGACGTCATTTGGCTAACCTAATAGCCAGTTCCAAGAATAGTAGGGCATTCCCAGCCACACCTTCTATGCAAAGGTGTTGGTGGGGAAAAAGAAAAAGAAGCATGGATTATGCAAGAGCTAGACTTCAGTCGTTTCAACATTTCCCAATATGTAGAAAGAAGTCCAATCTAGCAGGTTGAGTCAGTTTCTTTCCATCTTGGGTATTGTGTAATAATGCATAATGTAGACAGTTTAAAAGGGGGCACAAATCTACAGAAAATGTAATAATAATAATAATAATAATAATAATAATAATAATAATGTATTTCAGATGGAGAGTCAGAGAAAACCAAATGCACAACTTTTATATTTCATTTTGTGTAGAACAAAGTTATTCAGTTTAACAGTACTTGAGCTTAAACTATATAAGTACATTATGTACAACCACCTTTTATTTGTAGAATACATTTTTGTATCATTCTTTTTGCCTTTTTCTTTGTTATGCAGAGATTTCATTGACAGCCCACAAACAGATGTTTCCCTTCAGTTCCTTTAAGTTCCCACAGCTTACCATGAACAATGCAGGTGATGTCCTTTGATGTGCACACAGTGCTACTTCTATAAAAGTTTGGATTCTACCTGCCATCACACTGTGCATTTATCTAAAATGTGCTTTTTGAGTTTCACAAGATTAATTCAAATTAAAACATCATCTTGCTGAACAGTAAGCCCCTCTAGGGAAGTTCTGTAGAACCAAAACTGAAAGGGAGGCATTGCATCTTCTCTGTTACTCATTTTTAAACTTTCTTCACTAAAGAAGTTGCCTCATTTTCCAAACAGACCTGGCAATAATGAATTCTGTCAGGTCTCACTGTTTTCATCTGCACAAGATAAATCAAGAAAACCACACTTATATACTAAACATACATATATGTATTGTGATTGTATGCCCAGCAACTCCCCCCCCACCATCTCCATAATCCCTCACAACCTTGTGCCATCCAAGCTTACTTTGCAGGATGAAGAACTTCCACAAGACAGCATTGTGGCAAAGTTAACTATGCCCCTTGGTATCTATAATGTGGAAAAATAATTGCCATGTAGAACAGAGCATTTCCCTTGAAGGTATTGTTAAAAGGTAGTAGTGAGAAAAAGGAAAACTCTGATATCAGCAAAATAAAATGCCTCCTACCTTGCAAGCAGCAGCCCTTGGGGTACAAAATACCTCTTAGCCTCAGAGGTTCAAGGTTTTCATCTAGCAGTTGTGAAGCCCATAGCTGTCTACCTCAGTTATCTGTTATACTTTTAATCTGTCCAGTAATACTTTCTGGTGGATTACAAACAGTTAAAAGACTATAATGAAATTCAAACTTGCAAAATATAAAATACAGTACAATATTTAAAACAATAAAACACAAGGCAAGAGAAGCACTTGAGTGCCTGTATCTGAGTCTAAACAGACTTGCATATTTAGTAAAACAACTTGAACCTTGCAAACTTTGGGAATCCCATACATTTCCTTGAGATTCTCAGGAAAATTCTTTCTTGTCTCCTCCTGTCTGTAATAATGATAGTGTTTATATGGCTAAAATTTGAGCACTGCTCCTGCTAGTTGAAAACAAGTAGACTTTGACTATACACTTATACTGTACAAATCCAGAAATAGGGGATGGGAAGTGATGGAAAAGATCAGGAGAACCTAGTGGCAGATTTACAGTGTAATCCTATGCATGATTAGAGGGAAGAATGCCCTATGATTCCCCATGTGTTCCAGCCAGTATGCTAGCTGGAGGGATACTGGGCATTGTAGGACTCACTTCTTGTCCGAACATGCATAGCATTGCTCCCTCAGACTTGGGAATTTTCAGCCAACAGTACTTTTCCTTTGATGTTCTTACTTAAGGCAATCCATTTAAATTTCTCAGAACACACCTTCAAACAGCAAATTTTTTCTGGGTTTGACAAACTTTATAATGTATAATGGCTGCCTGGGCTGACTCCTTTACCCTGAAAGTGTTATTTTAAGTGCATGTTTCATTATAGCTGACCTTAAACAATATCCTGTTTGGAAGGACTATTGTTAAATATAAAATATTAATAAATACATACCAAGAAATACATTCTGCATCAGATAAAACATTTTATGTAATTTAATATGGATATCCAAATACATGCAAGATTTGTGATTTTTGTTTTATGTAATCACATCATGTGTGATTTTTTTCCTCTTCTCTTTTGAATAAGTTTATAGAGAAAGTAAGAGTTACTGGCTTGCTAGAAAGAACTTAAAATGAATAACCCACCTTTATGCTAATCAGGTATTACTTTAACCAGACTTGGGCTGGTAAGAACGGAAACTACAAGCTTACAGTGTCCAGCTAGCTTAACCACGTGTGAAGAACAACTTCTGTGGTGCCACTTTGATAATTGTATAAGTGGTTACAGACAATGGTATAGTTTTCCTGATACAAATGATGACTACTGTTGCATACACATTACAAATGAAGATAAAAACAGTGTAATATGTCAACAGCAGTTCAGCCAACTGCCACATTTATAGTTTGTATCACTGTGACAAAGTTCTGCTGGTATTGGATATTTCCTCCTATCCTGAAACTTGCACATTGTTTGCATAAAACGCTTGCAAGACATAACTGAAAGATCTCAAAGTTTGCTAGAAATATTTTAAAATAGTATAACTGTTGTTACATTTATATCACACCTAAAATAGTACTCGAGATGGCTAACAATGAAAGAGATAAAACAAAAAAGTTATAACATAAAAACCTATTTAAAAAATCTACTAGATTAAATCCTATTTCAGCAGCAAGTCAGTCTTGTCTGAATAAAATCCTTTAGGCAGGATTTGGCTTGACAGCTCTTCAAGACAGAGAACACATTTTATTTATTTATTTATTTATTTTTCGATTTATATTCTGCCTTTTTCCTACAAAGGGCTCAAGGCAGCTTACATCATTCTCCTCCTCCATCTTATCCACACAACAACCCTGTGAGGTAGGCTGGGCTGAGAGTCTGTGACTGGCCCAAAGTCACCCAGTTGGCTCCATGGCCGCACGGGGACGAGAACCCGGATCGCCCGAGTCCCAGTCCCATGCTCTTAACCACTACACCACACTGGCTCCCATTCAAAATGGAAGACAGTCCTGTTTTAAACACAACACATGTTTTTCCTCTGCATTGCATTTTTAAGTACAAAATGCTTTAATAAGTAAACTGGACTGCACTTGTTAGAAAGTCCACCTACTGTCACTCTGTGCCAGCCTTTCATAACCTGGTACCCTCTCCATCAGTGATGCTCTCAATACCCTGGAATTGGCTGTGCTGGCAGAGGCTGATTGGAGTTGTAGTCCAAAGCAATCTGGAGGGGACCATGTGGTGAAGTAAAAAGTGCATTTGGAGTTT